CCATGCCATGTGGGTCGCCTCTGGGGCTGGGAGCTGCAGTGGCTGTTGATAGCTTCGTAGAGCTGCACTTTAACCCATTGAGCCACCAGAGAGGGCCCTTTCTGTCGCTCTAAGGGGCAAAAAAAGGGACCTGAGGCAGGCTGGAGGTGACCCCCTCCCTATCTTGCAGTGTCCACTTGCCCTGCCCAGGCAGGAGTCAGGCCCATCCTGCTACAGCCCCCTCTCCCCACTGTGTTTTGCTTTGGGGGAGACAGGTACAATGGGCTGAGTCTCCCCATGGTGGGCAGCACTTCACCCTCCTGCATGAGCCCCTTGAGCTGAATGAAGGAGATGGGTGAAGAGTCAGAGGAGCAACATCTCTCCCCAAAGAAAATCTCTCCCGGACCCCTCCGGAGCCCACCACACTCCTTTTCAAGCCTTGAAAGGCTAAGGGATGCAGGAATTGTGGATTTGGTTCTCAGGTCATTTTCTCCATTGCTCTCATGTGCTAATGTGGCTGGGGGACTTTCCTGTCCACTGCAGCCTGGGGTCTTGGTTGACACTTCAGCACTCCCTCCCTGTCACACCTTCATGTTGGCAAAGTAGGTGCCTTCATCCTTTGATGGTGCTCAGTGACCAGCATAGCCTTTCTTAAGGTTCTTGAACTTCTTGGAATAGGAATCTTCAAAAAGTTCCGTCCTTTGAGTGAGAAATTTGTTCTGGGAGACTTTAAAACAGATAAAAGTCATTTACATCATGAGTGTCCTATAGCTTTAACAACAACCTCACTCTGCTGTGACTAGAGATGGTAAAGAAGGGAACTCTGTCTGCAGAACAGAACATAATGCACCATTAAAAAGAACAGATTTCATAACACTAAGCTGCACAGGGCTTGGGTTGGTCTGAGTCTGCTTTGAATGTGTGACCTTAGGAAACTTACTTCATTTCTCTGAGTCTCAGTTTCTTCATCTGTAAAATCAGCACAATAATAATGTTTCTCTCTTAGGTGGGCAGAGAGGGTTGAGTGGATAACATAAGTGAAGCTCTTAGAAGGGGTAGGCCCACTGTGCCAGCTGTTGTCACTGGTGGGTACTTGGGGAAAGTTTAGTGACTTAAAAAAGGCAGAAATTGAAGTTTGTACATTGATTATGACCAGATTAGCCATAGAAAGGACACAACAAGTTACTCTAAAGATGTTTAAAGTGATAGACAAGGAAGATGAGCGCCAGAGTGGTGACTGGTTAACCCTGAGTTGTGTCATCAGTGATTGCAACTTTTTTCTTTCTTTTCCCTTTAACTCATCTGTACTTTCCATTTTTCCCTGAAAGGGCATTAGTGGAGAGTTCGCCTTCTATGGGGTTTAAAGTGTCGGGGATGGGCGGCAGGGAAGGTAGACCAGAGAAGTAGAGACTACCAGCCATTCCATCTGGCCTGGGCATGTCCCTCTCTCTGGACAACCTCCCCCTCCTCATCGTCTCATTCTGCCTCTCCATTGTGTTGTGTGTACTGCAGCAGTAGGAATATGGACCCAGAATGGGGAGGTGGGTGAAGAGGGTATTTCATTTGCAGAAGAGAACATGCTATACCACTAAAAAGAACAGATTGACAAAGTTGTGACAAAGTTGATTTAGCTGCAGGTACTGAGCATGTGTTACTGAAGTGAGGGCCAAACTTGGGGGCATGAAGGTCAAGGGGAAGGTGATGTGAAGGAGGCAGACAAAACAGTCCACCTGCCAGGTGTGGGGGCCACCAGCTGTAGATTCCCCCACCCACCTGGGCAGAACTTAGCCACTTCTGTGTGAGCCTTTAGTGGTTTTGTCAGTAGCTGGCACCATGCCTGTCCCCTCTCTCATGGCAGCAAACAAACCTTCACCTGCTCCCCATGGGAAGCAGTTGTGCCTGGCCATGAAGCGCCTAGGACCCATGTGGGCCCCATTGAGTGCTCACACGGGACACGGGGCTGTTGGCCAGCCAGGCGCCCCCGCTGCAACATTATCTTAGAGGAGACATCTGAGATGCCCCGGTGGCTCCTCTCCTGAGACACTAACATCCTCTGTTTGTCTGTTTTTTGGGGGAAGCATCTGATCCAGTATTGGCTTTAGACATCTGAAGACTTGTCTAGTATGTGTGGTGGCAGGGTCCTTAGAGGTCATATTGCAGGGTGAGGCCAAGGTCCACAGAGAATAGGAGCCCAGCACTGCGTTTGTGGTAAAGGCAGGGAGCACAGCCCTGATCCTCCCAGGGCTTTCATTTGACCTGCCATCCTCAGGGAACAGTAAATGGTACCTGTGAGGGTGAAACCCAGGCAGCTTGTCTAAGGGAGGACCCGTACCAGAATATACCAAGGGGGAAGTTACCATTCTGTATTCCAGAGTGTCAGAGTTAGCACCTGTTGGCCCAGGATAGTGTGTCTTTCTCACCATGGCAGCATTATGGAACCTTCTGAGAATTAAGTCAGCAAGGATACATTCATGGCCAGCCCTGAGGAGGTCAGCAGGCTAGTGGTGGAGATAGAGGAGGTTGGGCTAGAGGAAGTAGCTAAGGCCAAGTCATTGATGGTAGAGAGGGCTGGCCAGTGTGTCTGGCCACCTTTGTGTTCATAGGTGTTGTTCAAGAAAGCACAGCCTCAGCTCAGCTCTGGGCTTGATAACTTCTGGAGTCTCTCCATGCCCTGGAGACTCCCCAACAAAAGAGATCCCCAAAAGTGACATAACATTGTCGGAAGAAATTAAAGTAGACCTACATGAATGGATGAACATCCTATGTTCATAGCTGAAAGGACTTACTGTTAACATGGCAATCTCTCCTCACACTGATCTATAGATTCAACACCATCCCTGTAAGAATCTCAGCTGGCTTCATGGTAGAAATTGACAGGCTGATTCTAAAATTCATAGGAATTGCAAGGAGCCTAGAATAACCCAAATAATCGTGCATGAGAATAAAGTCAGAGAATGTATAGTTTCCTACTTCAAAGCTTTTCACAAAGAAATGGTAATTAAGACAGGGTGGTACTGACTTGTCAGACAGATGTATCAATGAACTGGAATTGAGAGTCCATAAGAAAACCCACCAGGGAGGCCCCAGTTGTTTGCTTTTTGTTATGGAGTTTTAAGAGTTCTTTATATATTCTGGGGGTGGAGGAGGAGAGCTCTTTATATATTCTGGATGCAAATCCCTTAACAAATAGATGATTTGCAAATATTTTCTCCCATTTGGTGAGCAGTATCCACTTTCTTCATTTTTTTCCCCCCAAAGATTTATTTATTTGTGCATGCAGAAATGCGGGTACAGGTCAGAGGTGCCGGGGCGGTGAGAGGATTCACCAGAGACAGAGTGGGGAGCAGAACAGGCAGATCAACGAAGTACACTGCTGAGGGGAGCAGCAGGCGGGTCAGGAGAGGTCTGCCGCACTATGTGGTCACCTCTGGGGCAGGCGGGTATCAAACTCATGCTGAAGTGGCTTTAGCTTCTTAGTGCTGTGCTTTAACCCGCTGCGCCACCAGGGTGGGCCCACTTTCTTCATTCTTTTGCATGTGGCTGGCCATTTTCCCAACATTATTTGTTAAAAAGACCATTTCTCCTCTCCCCCCAATTCAACTGTTCTAAAATTGACTGCGGTGATGGTCACACCAAATGTGAAAATACCACACATCACTTAATTGTACATTTTACATAGGCATATTTGTAGGACGTGAATGATACAGCTGTTAAAGAAAAGAAGAAAGTTAATATGAAAATAGTAATACCAATGTTTTGACAAGGGTTTGGATCAACCGGAACTATTCATTGGCTGACAGGACTGTAAATTGGACTCTGATTCCATTTCACAGGCAAAATAAATCTATGACATTGTAAGTCAGGATCACAGTTACCTTTGGGCGTAGTGATTGAAAAAAAAAAAAAAAGCATGAGACATCTGGTTTCAGGGGCTAATAATGTTTCTTGATCCAATTGCTGGTTACATCGTGATATTTGGTGAGGGTCAATCAAGTTGTATACCTATCATTTGTGCACTTTTGTGTAAATGTGGAAACATAGGTCCTATGTAAAAAGGTTGTGATTCAACATAGTGTTTATAAAAAAGAAAAAGCAGAGGAACAAGTGAAAGGGGATTTCATGGAAGGAGTTGCTCCTGATTCCTCCTCTTTTCTTCAGAGTGGGAAGAGCAGCTGGGAGTTGAGTTAACACTTGATTGTGCCCACATGAGGGAGACTCCGTAAAATCCCAGTTGTAGGTGAGGGCATGCCGTTGATAGACGATTTCATCCAGAGTGACAGTAGGTGGGGACAGAGACTTGCGTGTTCTCCGTGGTAGCCAGCCTCAGTGGGTGAGCTGGTAACCTCGAAGCCCCAGGGCTGGGGGTGCCCAGTTTTCAGTTGCCCACTTACAGAGAACATGTGGGTTTGAGAGCCAGGTACAAATAATATTCCCCAAAGAACCCTCCTGCAAAGTGAGGGAGGAGAGAAGCTGAGGAGAAGGTGGTGATGAAAATGGGATGTTGGGGAAGGTGAACTTCCATTGGGATTTGTCCAGCCATGGCTCCATGGGAGGAAGGATATTGAGTGTGACTAATGGGAGGCTTGATGGTTAAATCATGTAGTGTGTTTGTAATAAATGTTTGCTAATGGGTATATGAAATCATTGACTAATGGCTGTGTTAATGAAGGAAAACTAGTGGATCCTCAGTGCAGTACTATATGGGGACACCCTAAGGAGAACCCTCCTCACTCCAAGCCACCAGACATAGTTAACTATAGCTCTGTGTGCTTGTCCTTGGCATGCTTTAGCTCCTGGATCTTCTTCGGCAGGGTCTTTGTCCAGAACTGGAGCTTGTCGGTCTTCAGGGCCCACCTTGCTACAGGTTGCAAGTTCAGTTCCAGGTATTGCTGCTCCTGTTCAAACTTGGGCCAGTAGGGCAGATCCTTGCTGTTGGGGTTCCTGTAGACATGCCCCCAAGGCAGGACTGTAAGGATTATTCTGAGCCCTGTGGAACCCAGATCTGGACACCCTGACTGGGATCAGGCAAGGCAGCCAAACCCACCCCAGTGGGATTCAGTGGGATTCGAGGATGAGGAGGGAAGTTTCCAGATGTTGAAAGAAGCCAACTCTCACCAGAGCATCTGCCCACTAGAGGGCAGGGTAGACTGGCTGTTTTGTCTCTTCCTCTGAGAGTCTGCCAGTATATAGCACAGGCAGCATGCCTCCCCCCCTC